TATATATATATATATATATATATATATATATATATATATAATAGTAACAAATTTTACTGTGTAGATTCAAAACTATTCTGTTTCTTCCCCAGGGGAAGGGTCCCCTATGACTTCTTGTCAAATTCAAGAGAAATTCTGAATACTTTGGTCTTCCCAAAGGCATTGTACCCTTATGACATCACACACATGAATGCACTTATTAAATAAATAAATAAATGAATGAATTAAGAGCGACTTTTACCAAAAAAATGAAAAATAAATGTTTTTTACCTACAACTGTAATACCAAAAAAGATAGCTGTAGAATTATTTATGCACTAAGAAATCAACTTGCTGTGTGTATCAGGATTTTTTGCCAAACTGTGTTGTTTCTTTTAAATACAGCCTAAATCTCTCTGCCCATTTATTATTATACGTGCCATTTCTCACAGCAAATTCTATTCAGTTCCCAAGCATAAGTTCTCTCTTTTTTGATGAACAAAGTATAGTTTTACCTGTTCCCAAGCATCTAGTAACATGACATCATCTTCTGCTAAATCGTCCTGGGTGAACTCTCCTGGAACCTCTTCAATCTGAAATGTTGGAAAGCTTTATGACCAAACAGTAAAGCAGGAATTTTTCTAATATTTCTGAGAACTGTGAAAATAAAATTTGGTAGTCATTTTTTCTTCTTCTTTTTAGGTAATAAAGATTTAAATAATTGTTCATCTATTTAATTTGGCATCACAACTAATGATACCTTATTTGGCCAGCACAATGCTTAATATAATATTTTGATTGAATACCTAGATTGGACATATGTAGTCAATTTGACATGATTCTCTGTACTTCCAGTTCCTTACGCAAGTTGTTTCACAGATTTATGTCGCCTGCCTAGTCCCTAAAGACATTTGAGTTTATGGTCAGGGTATTAAATTGTCTTTCATTTTGTAGGTCAAGATTATTTTTAAAAAGTCAATAGGTCTGGTCATTTTAATTTAAATTTTCATTAAAATGACATTTTAACATAATATTACATATGCAAAATTTTATTATTTTTATTTTTAATGGGTTAAATTGTACTCTCTATAGTTAACATGAAAGGGTAGTGGAGAGGGTTAGTTTAATCCACCCAATCCCAATGGGAATGTATTAATCTAAAATTCAATGCTTTTAGAGAATTCTGAATGAACCCCACCACCATCCTTAGGAAGGTGTGACAGGTTGGATTATAGTTCCCAATTCTTTACTCCCTCTGCCTGCCATTTGACTTTGCCATGCAGTCAAGGAATTGGAGTTGACTGTGGCCTGGTCCATGTCATACTAGCCAATGTGACTCAGTAGGGGCCTTTTTGTGCTCCTGAGCACTGTCATGGAAAAACAGGAATAAACCCAGCCTGTAGCCTGAGCTCAGTCTGGATAAACCTATTCCCAGGCTGCTTGCAGACCTCTGAACTATACAATTCATGTTTGTCATAACCTGATGAGATTTTGAAATTGTTAAACAAAACAAACAAACCAAAAATCTTGACCATTCACAGAAGGCAATGAACTTGTTCATATAATCTTTTCACAGAATATTTACCAATCACATAATGATTTCAAAAGAAAAAACCTTAAGTATCACTAACTTGGTGCTAGGCACTGTTCTAATCTATTATATGCAACAACTAATTTAATATTCGCACTCACCCTATGAAGTAGTTGCTATGATTATCTCCATTCTACAGATGAGAAAATTACTGCACAGACAGGATACATAACCAGCCTAAAGACACAAAGCTAGTAAGTAATATCACTAGGTAAATGATATTACACAGGCAGGTTGGATCTAAAAGCTATGCTTTTAACTATAGGCTCTGCTGCCTTGTAGGAATTTGTATGTCTAAAGCCTACTTGTTAATATTGATTGTAAGATCCAACACTTGTTAGTAACAATCCTTTTCCTTAAACTGTGAAGAAGCAGAGGGGTTCCAAATACCAAACAGGAAAATGAGTAGGTGCAGAAAAATGTATATTTCTCCTAAAGGCTAATATATGTGCATAACAAAAAGCCAGACAAGCACTAACAGATTTCTTTCAAACCTGACTGAGAACAAAGTTCTAGGAACTTATTTTTGTAAAACATATCTTCCTTGGAGAAAAGTCTAATTTTATACTAATATATGCAAATAATAATAAAAAGAAATTATAGGAGCATATGCTAAAAAGTTGTTTGGATGCAATATCAAATAAACACTCAAAACAATAAAATAACAGATTTTTCTGATGACAAATTTATAAAATACAGTAAGCACAGGGGTTTCCTGTAAAGTAAGTGAGCAAACTGTGGTGCCTGACAACCAAATATTTATCTCAATGCACTATTTAAGTCTGGAGTTTCAAGTCAAATCACTTGTAAGCCTCAAATGTGGTTTGTGCATGAACGGTTTCTTCTTCAAAGCATTTTAGTTCTAGTAATCAAAGTACCTGAGAAAGTACTTAGGAAATTTTCTTGTGTGTATGCTAAAAAATAAAGCTTGCATTCACCAGGATGTGTTGACCAAATCTGCAGATCAAATTCTATATAGAAGAGAAATTTGTTCTTTAAATGAAAAATTTAAACAAAAGCTTAGTATGTAAATTGAGGCAAAGAGCAGTAGCCTTTTGGATAATATTTCAGAGCCCAGTATAAAATCCCTCTTGTATTGTCATGAACTGCATATTTGTTTCCCTCTAAATTCATATGTTGAAGCCCTAACCCCCTAATGGTGTGGTAGTAGGTGGTGATTAGGTTTAGATGAGCTCATGAGGGTGGAGCCCCCATGATGGGATTAGTGTCCTTAAGAAGAGAAAGAGAATAGAGCTTGCTCTCTTTGCCATATGAGGACACAAGGAAGTGTGCCCTCAACAGACAAGGCATCTGCTGATGCCTTGATCTTGAACTTCCCAGATTCCAGAACTGGGAGAAATAAAAGTTTGTTGTTTAAACCATCTTATCTGTGGTATTTTTTTTATAGCCGCCTGAACTAAGACACAGATACTTCTGATTTTACTTCTGATTGCCTGAAAGTCAAAGCCTATAAATGACTATAAAACATTCCTGTTGATTTCAGTTAATTTGCAGGCACATATATAACTTTCTGTTGTTTTGCCCAATGATCATACTATTTCCATAATGTTTTTTATTCAGTCAACATAGTGAAATTTATACCCCTGGGAAAATGATGTGTAAAACTTATATAGTTTGATCAGAAACAACTATTGCTGCCCACAAAAAGTGTCAAATTATTAAATTAGCAAACCCAAGCACATACATATTCATAGAGCAACTACTTCTTGCTGACACAGGTGTAAAGCAGCTGATATTTTTAAGGCAGCTTAATTTATATAGCACAGTACAGTTAACGCTTTCATATCTATTACATCATTGACCCTTAAAACTACCCTGTATAGAGCAAAGATTATCATCTATGATTTTCAGGTAATCTGAAACTTCTGAGACTCTGAGAGGTAACATGGCTGGAAAGTGTCAGAGCCTACATGGAAACACCTCTCCCAGTATTGTTAGGTTCTATCTCATTGTCTTAAGATACTTACAATGAACCTTCCAGTTTTGTTAGAGCAGCCATAAAGCCGAGGCGGATGGGCTTCAGCCTCGGTTTCTAGCAGTGGTGACGTCTGGTAGTCTTTTTTCCCTCCAAGGACATTCCAAAACTCCTCTGTGGAAAACACACTGAGTTATCCAATGCATTTACTAGAGGATATGGTTTGTATTGCTTTACATTAACAAATAATATTATCTTACCTTGACTTTAATGTTAGAAATTTCTTAAATATACCAGGTACCATCACCCACTTTTCTAAATATTGGAGGGATTCTTAACCCCCAATAGCCATTAAAAAGTGACTATGAAAAAAGTCGATTAGCAAACATACCAAATGTAAATTCTGGTTAGTGTCCTTGGCCCCACAGCACACACCTGGTTCCTCGCCTTCCTGAATCCTTACAGTTTTGCACTTGAGGACACTTGCCACGTACTCTGCTCCTTTCTCCTCGTCCTGGCTAGCACCTTTTCCTACCCAGATGAAGCCATTGTTTTTTGGCAGTTTCAGGACAAAAACATCATTGGAATTCAGTGAATTTGCATCAACATCAACCTAGAGTATGACGAAAAATAACACAACGATTCAAAGTCATTGCTGCTCCTTCAATAAATACGTTTCAGAGTTTCAGAGCTGTGACTGTGACAAACCAACCACAGCTTTCCACCCAATCCCAGGAAATTAATTCAGGGCAGCACAAGACACCACTATGGTGTTTGAAATGTCTGTGTCATTCAGATAGTAGCACAAGCATCTAAGAATACAGTTAATCAAACTTAAGTGATAAGAATTAAGGGTTTGGAAAAGTAGCAAAGGTTTGGAAAAGCAAACAAAGATAACATAAGAACAAGGAGGGGCTATAATTGACAATTGGAAAAAGGGCATAGTATTCACAAATGACATGTATGAAGCAAAGGTATTCAGTGTTTCTCTCCCCCACTAAAGAGAAGGCTTATCGAATAATTGAAAGGAAACTTAAAAATCATAAAGCAGGGACTGGAGTCCAATGTAGGGAAAGAGATAATACTATGGATTCACTAAAAGGTGCTTCAGGCTCAGATAAATCATGTCTCAAATTATAAAAGACAATTTTAAGGACTTAAAAACACAGCACTGATATACTCCTTCCTTCCGACTTACAATCTGTGGACACTGCCTGGCATCCCCCGGGGAGCACAGATCTGGTCCATGTGGCCACAGGGGAGCGAGAGGTTTGACTCTGGCCTGAGGGTGAGGCTGAAGGTGGGACCTCTGGGCAGGGACAAGGCACATGCAGAACCTCAGGCTCGGTGGTGAGCGTGAGGGCCCTAGGACGGGCTTGTGTCTACGACTGCGTCCATGACCTTGTGATTTTGTGACTCTGTGTCCATCTCTGTGATTACCTGTCTGACCAGATGATCGTGAAACTACGTCACTGTCTGACTTTCTGCATAACTGTGGAACTGAGTGAGGTCTGACTTCAGCGAGCTGAACCAGTAGCATGACAGAGATGGAGCAGCCGAGAGGGAGAAGGAAACAAGAGCAGGAGGTGTTTCTAAGGCAAGCGAAGAAAGTGTCTCAAGAAGGCAGGGTAACCTGCTGTGCCCAACAATGCCGCCTGGCCAGCCTCACTGAGCTGCCAGGATCAGGGCATCAACCGCATGCAGAGTTGGATTCGCTGGGTCTGTCAGGACCGTGTCCCCACAGAGAACGCTAAATTTAGAGAAGTGTCCCAGGGATGGGTAACATTCAGGGAAGTGGGTATAGTCCTCTCCCAGGAGGAATGAGGCCTCATGGACCAAGATCAAAGGAATCTATCAGATGCGATGATGGAGAATTATAAGAACTAGGTCTGGCTTTCAGCGCTTCCTGTTTCTAATCCACATGTCTCCTTATTGATAAAGAGGAAAAAGCTAGAATGATGGAGAAAAGGTGACAAGAGGCCCATGTCCGGACTGGTGTGAGATCAGGGGGGTAGATCTAAAACAGAACGTTTATAGAGCTTTAGCCTGCCAGGAACTGAAGACAGAAAGCCTTACAAAACAATCTGGACTAGTGCATTTCAGAGAAGCTGGTTTTAGAGGCTGAAAAAAAAAAAAAAGAGATGTTGTAAGCAACTGGTGATGTTTCATAAAGAAATGCCCACTGGGGAAGAGATCAGGAATGTAACAATGCTGCATTCTGGTTGACTCTTCCATCTGAAGTCAACTGAGAGTGCCTGCAGATGAGAGCTGCACTGTCAGTTTGATAGACTAAAAAACAATTAGTCATAATTAAACACATGAGAATCCCTGCACAGAATGTTCTAGATGAGATCAATACCCACGCTGGCATTTAAACTATATGACTGAATGAGATCACTGTGAAGAGTTCAAGACTGAGCCTTGGAGCACTCAAATGCTTAGAGGTCAAGCAGAGAAGTAAAACCCAGCAAAACTGCCCCAGAAGAGTGGCCAGTAGGTTTAAAAGAAATCATGATAAGTGTGGTAATACAGACACTGTGTGGAAAAAAGTATTCAATAAAACAGGAAATGTTAACCGTGGCAAATGGTTGTGGAAGGTTTAGAAAAATGAGATCCGAGAAATGACTTTTGATTGTGGCAAGAAGCAGGTCACTGACCAACTAGAGAGAAAGCATTTCAGTGGAGTGAGGGGAATAAATACCTGATTGGAGTGGCTTGAGAGAGAATAGGCTCAAACAAGTAGAGACAGTGAGCGAGTGACAACAACTCTTTCAAGGACTCGTGCTCTTAAGAAGGACAGAGAAATGATGCGGTAGCTGGAGACGGTCAAGATCAGGGTCAAGAGAAGTTTTTAAAGAAATGATGGGAGTTTTTTTTAAAAACACATCTTTGTATTTCAAAGTAAATGATGTAGGATAGAAGAATAAAAGGATGATCCAGAAGAGAAGAGAAAGGAGATTATTGCCTGCAATCATGATGAACTGCAAGTGGAATAAATGCACGGGAAAGAGAGATATCTAGGAAAGCCCACAAGGAAGCAAGAGAGGAGACCCTGGACACAAGTGGGGGCGGGAGAAATACGGCCTTAGATAGAAGTCATATTTTTTATTCTATGTGATAAATATGCATTAAATTATTTATTGATATACCTCTTTATGCAAATATATTATTTACTACTAATTTATGGATAATAATAGATTGATGTTAATTTATAAAACACTTCATTATATGTAAATTACTAATATAAAATATTTATTGATTTTTAAACATAAATAAATTAAGATTTATAGATTTCTTTCATAAAACAGGAAGGAAAGAGAATATAGACGTACCCATGCAGACAAGTTGGTGAAGTTGCAGGGGAGCAGATAAGGTGATTCCTGTGTGATTATACTTATGCTCTCTGTGAACACTGAATCAAAGTAATCAGTAGAGAGAAGCGGGTGCTGGAGATTTGAGGAGAGAGGAGGACAGGAAGGGTGTGAAGGATGAAGAGGACTCATGCATTCAGCGATGAGACTGGAGAATTGGTGACATGTGCATCCTGGAGTGAAGGAGTCAAAGGACGGGAGCTGGTTGTCAGAGGTTTATGATTGAAGCAGACTTCTGAGGAGCTCTGGTTGTCGCCTATGGCAAGATTTAGTATAGGATGATGTGAGTAGGAGATGAAATGCGGACAAGGAAAAGATGGTTATAAGAGAGAAGCCAGAGTGACAAAGACAGTGAGACAATGGCTGAAGCCATCAAAGAGGAAGGGAAGGACCGGCAGCTCAGTAGGTGACAGCACAACAAGACAGGGGAGGGAGAGTCTGATACAAAGGAGAGAAATCAAAGCAGCAAGGTAAGAAAGGAGGGTAGCCCGTCCAGCTCCATCCTTGAGTCCTGTGGGCACTGGGAGACAACACAACTTCCACTTGGGAGGGGTGTATAGGAATGGGTATCCTCAGAGGACAGCAGCCTGCAATCAAGAAGGTGAAGGGGGAGGGAGGCTTAGAGAAGAGGTCGCAGGTGGAGGGAGGTGATAACCAACCAGTTTTAAGGGCTCAGCTGAATGGCTTGTGTGGAGGAGTAGGGTTGGGAGATGGCTCCAGCTTTGGGAATATGCAGAGAGTACACAGCAGTTTCAGAGTGATCTGGGAGACCTGGATTTCAACAGTGACTGAGGTGATTGGGATGTGAGGTGTAACGGGATTGTCCTAAAGGTCAAAGCACACAGCCATTTGAAAACCTAGGCAGGCTGGTCTCGCCCGCGCCTGAAGGTCTTCTAATTGTATGACACCTTGATGGGGGTTTAATTTCTTTCCCAGCTGCTGTCAGAGACAGCTTAACTGGCAGTACAGTTATGGTTCTGGTCCAGTGTGGCAGGGCTTGCTTCTCACATTCGTTACACTGTGCAAACACTCAAACTTCCCTCTGAAATTTCCCTAGTGTCACCTGACCCATCACCCGTGATCCATCTACTCCATGCCTGTGACAGCTTGGTTTATTACAGTATTCTCAAAATTCATTTGTTTGGGTTGAATGCAGTTGTAAAATGTGAGAGGCCTGGTATCTGCAGTTTAACATTTTACTCAGCTCTCCTGCTTTTAGTGTTTTTTTATTGTGAACTGGATTAATTATAGAAATGAAAGGAATTTACTTGCTAATTTTTAAAAGACTAATATTTGTTGATGGCTCAGGTCCATTGGGAAATCCATAGCCAAGGCATGTTTTATTGAATGCGTGACATTACCTCCACAATTCTGGTGATAGATGCCAGGTTTCTCCGGACTTGAAAGAGGCGTATAGGGGAAGCAGGTGCCTGACCTCCTTTCTTTGATGTTCCATTCTTGTAAATAATGAGTGGTTTGTCTTTGAACAAACTCAGCAGATGAGCAGGCTCTTTGCCTTGGGAGACTCGGATCTGGAGGTGGGGAGATAAAAGAAATAAAATAAAGAGTGCATTGAAAGAAGGTTGATTTTCTAAATGTGTGCTTATTTTTCTTTTTGAAAACAAAACAAAAAATAAACAGAAAGTCAAGAGCAGGAGGAATGATGATTAACAGAACAAAAAAGTTGATGATAACCAAGTACAGTTTCCTCCTTGACTTAAGAATCTTCTGTTCATTGATACATTAACTACCCTAACCCATTTATTATGCAATATATGTATGTATTGAAACACCAGATTATACCCTACAAGTATGTATAATTACAATTACAATTAAAAAAATAGTAAAGAAAAAAAGAGAATCTTTCATTGTCCTAGAACCAGTGTCACAGTGTCCCCGAGTAGTTTCTTGTGTGGGGAAACATCCTCACACTGCAACACTTTCTGCTTTTGGAAAGCATGAAGATGTAAGCTTGTTCATCTACATCTCCCAAAGAGAAAAGATTACAGCAATGAAGTGCTGGTGTCTGCAACCTTATATGAAAATTACTCTTCTTCAAAAGCATCAACATTTTACAGATGTTTACACATGTGCTAGATTCTTATGTGTTTTGGATCTGGTTCAGAAGGTTAACACATGTGCTTCAAAAAATAAAAGGACACAAAATCATACTCATTATTTTTATAACCAGATATTTGTGAGATGAAAAAAAAAATTACACACAGAAGCAAAAGATTTCTATCCAAACATTAAAAACTGGCAAAAATAAACTGATCTTATATTTTCTACTTTTTAACTTACCTGTAGAAATGGTAGTAGAAGATATGCTCAGTATAAGCAACTTATTTTTTATGCAATAAAATAACTTTTCAGGATGAGGAAACTGAATAAAATAAGTGATAAATTATTAGCTTGACTTAATCTCCCATTTCTTGCATGAAATATTGATGCATTTCTTACATGAAGAGTTCAAATTTTTTTCAGTCCCTTGTTTTTTTATTTGTTCTGCCTTATGCTAAAATTGAGCTTTCACACCTACCCTCATACATCTTTTTCTAGAAGCTAGGTGACTGGGAATGCCCATGCACATACCATAACAGGAGGCATAGAGCACTGAAAATAATTGACCTCATAAGTATGTTTCAATTAGTAGGCATTCAAATAAGTGAGCAGCACATTATGAAAATGTTTCCTCAGTCATACTCCCAGAGCTTTGGATGGGGGTAGGAAGGAGTACCAAAAGCTGTCAGCTTAGCATTCGACATAACATTGAGAAAACTTCAATTGCCAACATACAAGAAAGGAGGCCACTGATTAAGGCCCATCACCTACTGTAAAAGAACAAGTGAGAAAAAAGGTAGATTAAAAAAAATTAATAGTGTAATATACTCTATAAAGGAGTGTTTAAAACAACATTACAGGACGTAAGATTTTTTTTTTGCATTATTGTAAACTACTGCCATCTAGTGATTGAAGAAAAGAGTTACCATTTCATTAATTTAGGATTCAACTAACAATTAATGGAAATTCATTAATAGGGCATATCAAATATTCTACTGTGAAATATGGAATATGTAAGACACATGCATATCTTCAAAGTTTTTGAATAATTTCTTAAGGAATATAAGGAATACTTTATTTTTTTATTAATATTATTTTTTTTTACATTCTATGAAGTTGTTGCAGAGCGTTGGGAGGGAGAGGGATAGGGAAAAGGGGAAGGAAATGGGATGGAAGAAGGAGGAAGGAAGAGGGATGAGATTGAGGCCTGTGGCACCCCCCTCATTCCCACAGGGGAGACCAGGGGGCTTCCAGTGGTGGCTTGGTTTTTGCCAGGCTGGGTTCAGATGTCAGGGGGGTGTGGCTGAAGCCCTCAGGAATACTTTAAAGATCAACTAAATGTTATAGACGACATCAGTTCTTAGCTAGAAATATTTCATTCAAGAAATGAATATAATACTTCATGGGGAAATTGAACTGAGTGCATTTAAAGAATTCAATCATCTTATTACCTGTAAATTAACAATTAACAAATTAATGTGTACAAAAAAAAGGTAATATGCAACTTTAACTTTAGCCTAACTTGCTTTATACATGTGTATCTATTGACAAGTACCAAGATAGAAAGGAATCCAGCTGGAAGACCAAACTCAGCCTCCATGTTTTGGATTTTACGTCCTAAACAATTCGACTTACATCTCTATTTAACTGTTACATTTGAAGAAGCAAATACACATTTATAAAGATTTGAAAACAAAGCAAAGCAAAGAACTTGTACACCACAGAATTTTAGCTCCTTTGACATCAAGCATGAAGAAGATAAACAAGACACAACCCTGAGAAGGGAATGCTCAATGCTGCTGTGTCCAAAATGTCACCACACTGGCTAAATGATCACCTGCTCTTAGTGTGAACCATAATCTGGAAGAGACTTTTCCCAGCAGATGGGAGCAGATGCCTTCCCCAAAACTGGCCAGAGAAAACACATAGGCAGGCAGAAAAAAACCCAGGCAGCAGTGTGATCAGCTCCAGCTATAAAGAGAGGAGGGGATGTGGGGGAAGAGAGAGAGACAGAGACCTCAGGCTAGTTGTAGGAACAAGGAACAAGCAAGTGTCCTCTGCTGGGATTAATAGGAGAGCAGACAGACACACTGAAGCACGCTAGACGGAAACAGTCTTCCTGGAGTCTGTGTTGCAGTCACACAGTAAGGAACTAAACCAGCAAAGACCAAGAAGTTCCCATGGTTACGAATAAGGGTTCTGAAACAAGCAGCAGGTACTCTGTGCTAGAGTAAGAAGAGGAGCAGTTGAGCTTGAAAAAAGAGGAAGGAAGGTTGAACCAGGCTGCAAACAGTCCTCAGACACAGTGAAGAGAGCTAGAACTAGACATTGATATTGTATGACATTGCATGACATTCAAACTTCTATAATGAGTAAGTCAACACATTATCTCTTCCAGCAACCTTCTCTCTCCACACACACACACCCCACATATACACAGACTGAAAAGTTGATTCATTTATATTTCTATGAGATTGTCGTTTTGAATTTGGGTACAGTCATTCTCAACAAGCTTTTTTTTTTTTTTTTCAGAATTACCCTAATAAAAAATTTCTCTCTTTCCTCTTTCATTCCACGCTCTCCCTTCCTCCTCTCTCCTCCTCTCTTCCCCTCTCATTTCTCCCTCAAGGATTTCCCTCTCTCTGTTCCCTCCCCTTCCCTCTTCTCTATCCCTTTCCCTCCCCTCCCCTCCCCTCCCATTTCTGTCCTCCTCTCCCCTCTCCTCCGCTCCTGTTCCCCCCACTTTTGGGTGTTGGACTTTGTTTATGTCAAGACTTCTGGTACCTAAAAGGGAAAAATAAGGATCCACGATTTCTTATTGAGGTTTATTTCAGTTTGCCTGTGCAGAACATAACTTAGGCACATTTATGACTTGAGAATGTGTAAAATATTGTTCTACTTTTTAACCTATTAATTAGAATCATTAATCTGTGCTTGTTTTACACTGTTGTATTTATTTCTTATTACTGCTATAATAAATTACCATAATTGGCTCTAGTGGCTTACGACAGCACAATTTTATTATCTTACAGTTCTGGAGGTCAAAAGTACAGAATGAATTACTGTGCTCACTTGGTTCCTAGGCTAAAATCAAGCTATCGCAGGACTACAGTCCCCTCTAGAGGCTCTAAGGGTGAGTCCATTTCCTCATCTTTCCCAGCTTCTAGAGTTTGCCCATATTCCTTTGCTGGGGCCACTTCTGTCTTCAAAGACAGCAATTGCAGGTTGAGTCTTTCTCATGCTGCATCCCTCTAACTCTGCCTGCTTCCCTCTTTTTACTTATAAGGACCCTTGTGATTATACTGGGTCTAACCAGTAATCCCAGATAATCTCCCTATTTTGAGATCCGCTGAGGAGCAAACTTAATTCCATCTCCAAGCTTAACTCTCCTTTGCTTTGAAACATAACACATTCATAGGTTCTGAGGACTAGGACGTGAACATCTTGGGGGCATTATTTTGCCCACGACATCTGTCTAACAATAGCTGGAAGTGATGACACAGATAGGACAGTTTAATGTCAGGAGGCTATCATTGACATATGGTGTGATTCTAATGGGAAGATTCTTTTGGCTTAAATCTGTTATTGTTTTTTGTTGTTTTTATTTTGCTTTGGTTTGCTCCCTTTCCAGAACCTGAGTGAACCTCTATGGCATGAGAGTAGGAATACTGAAATTCCAAAATGAAAAAGAGTCAATATCAAGAAAATGTCAAATTCTCATCCCAACTTGGAAGAGGAGCTTTAGCTAGAAATCGAGCTAGCAAAAGTTTAACTTGTGTGAGTTTTGGGGGTAAAAATATCCCAACCTGCACAGCCTGTCCTCCAAGGGATCGATCCAACTGAACGGTCAGGAAAGCGGATGTCGTCAGCTCATCTCTTGTGGCATTTGCTCCTTGCCTAGAGGAATCAAAGTAAAACAAATTACCTGTATTTAAGTTTTAAGACCTTCCCATGTAGGCATTTCAAGCAGAGACAAGTTATTATGAAACATAAAGAAGAAACCAACTGTTTTAACTTGACATGAACCCTCAAAATTATTGAGTTTTTTTTAAAGTGCTAACATTGAGCCATGAATTATCCTGTATCTTGTCTAGAAGGATATAAGGCAGGCATTTTTAATCTCTGTTTTAAAGAAATTGAGCTTTAGCTCCTTACATAATTTAGCTAAGTAATCAGGTCTGTTTGATTCCAAGTTGAAGCTGCCTATTTTGGGGAAACCACGTTTATAGTGAAAATAATCCATCTGAGTACAAGAATATGAGCCAAACACATTAGGCTGGTTATTAGAGGCATTTTATCTTTCTATGAATATTTGTTGAAAACCAAATACCTGGAACCCAGAAAAGTCAAGAAAATAATCATTAGAAGTTGGCAACAGAGAGGCCCCATTTCACCATTCTAGAAATTCTATAAGGAATTATGAATGAAGCTGTACAAGAGACTAAACTTCCGGGACCCAGATAAGGGTCAATAAATCAATCTGTACAGTTCATCTGCAACTTCTCTTCCTAGGTTAGCTGTAACTCTGTATCACTTTAATTTATAAAGTAACCTTTCAGAGATCTGCCTGTTTGATGAATTTGTGTGGTAAAAAATAAGCAAAACAAGACCAAAAAAAAAAAAAAATCCAAAACATCCTAAGCAATCATTGAACATTGTTTTTAGCCAACATCTTTATCTGACTAGGGTTAGCAGCAGGAATGCAAAACTTGGAATTGGATTGTGAAAGGTAACCATATCTCTTCTTCTGAAACCTTGACAGTAAGCTATTCCATACTCAGAACATATTAAAAGTAACCCACCACCCTGGGCAACCCACGCAAACACACCAACACACAGGGAGCAGGGTGCGTGTCTTATTTAATCTTAGAATTTTTCACTGGGCGGGGCATAGGAGAATGTTTAATGCAAAAATGTTTTATAGAGGGGTGCAAAAAAGGTCATGCACATGTTTATAAGACAATAAAAAATGCTTACCTTAATAAAGCCACCCATAAAAAAAAACAGCCTTTTAATTTGGATAGCCTAAATTTTCCATAAGCCCTTAAAACTAACACCTCTTTGAGCGACCAGACAACAAGGTGGGGAGTGACGCAGAGTTGCATGGTGATGGTCTACAGCAGGGTTTGCTATCACGTCCTATTACTTCTGTAGTTTCCTCAGTTCTCATTTCCAGCTGTGGTTAAAAATAGCTGCTTTCCATTTTGCTTTTATTCCAGAGGGAAAAATATTAACCAACTAACAGACAATATCACCCAACTTTTGTCTTCATTTATTATTTTTCTTGGAGTATTTCAACCGAGAAACTCGAAAACCACCACCGAACTTTTGCCTTCTGATACTCTTAATAAACACTTCACTACTGATCTCAAGCCCCTCTTCCTGTTCATGTCAAAGTACTGTGCTCCGCTTCTTCAAACTCATCTGCTTTATGGATTTATGATCCAGAGGGTCAAGTATTCCACTACTATCAAGACATAATACAGCCACTCTTTGCTTCTAATTTTGAAATCCTATGCTTAGGGGAAGAAAGAAAAGGAACGTATTTTGACAGCATGTCTTCTTTATAAACCTGTGGTGCTTGTTGCTCATTAAAAATAAATGCTGCATACAAATAAAATGTTCTGCTGCAAGAGATTCATTCTCCTCATTTGTTCAATTTCAATTACCTGACACTTCAGAGAAAAGATCACTGCAGCAATTAGTTTTCTCCTATCATTTCAGAATATAAGCGGTTTAAGAACCAAAAAAGACAAATTTGTGCATTCAGAACTTGATTTAATTGTAGTCTTTCACCTTTAACTCTGCCTCTTTGACTTAAAAAAAAATACATCCCTGTATTGAAATTATCACATAAACTGGAAAGTTGTTTAACTTGGAAGCTGGTCTTCACTACTTTTATAAAGCTTTCAAAGTTCCACAAAGGATACAACATTAACAGACTTACATTACTTAACATTTGTGATTTTAAATAGCAAAGGCTCACTAAAGGACTCACAAGTATCTAATTGCATTCTTCATAAGCCATCATTGAAACATTAAACACCTCAAATTGGAAAGAAGAAAACTAATGACCTCTCCCTCCAGTCCCATATCCTAAAGATAGTAACTGTCAACAACGTGGTGCATTCTCAGTGTCTTATTTTTCCCTTCGAATTTCTTACAGTGTGTGCCAAACCTGTCCTCCTCCTGAGTACTCTATCTCAGTAAATGAAACACCACCCACTTACGCTCAGACCAGAAACCGGGGGGGGGGGTCATCCTTGACTTTGTCATCTCCCCGATTCCCCACAGCCAGTCATCTGATGCCAACTCCTTCTCGCCTTGAAAATTTGTCTCATTCTTCCCATTCCTGTTGTCACTGTACTGAGTTCAGGCCACTTTATCATTCAGCTAGATTACTGCAACAAATTCCTAGCTGTCTCCCTTCCTCTAGTCTTCCTCCACCAATCCATTCTTTAGATCTCAAGCAGAATAATTTCTTTAAAATGAAAACCAATCATGTCACTCCCCCATGCAAACTCTTTGAGTGGCTCCCAATGCCCTGAAAAGAAAGTTCATCCTCCTCAGCATGTTTACAAAGCCATTCCCAATTTGGCTCCTTCTAATTTCTGTGGTTTTATCTTTTGTTCCCCAAATTTGCTCCAGTCCTACTGCATTACAGTACACTAGAGCACGCTTTTTCCTGCAGCTCTTGGAACAATTTCCCTACTTGCTTGCCTGTCTGGCATCCTCTTAGATGTCACCATTTCTAGGAGCCATTCACCAATAGCCTGGAAGTGGACTGGAGTGTCCGTCTATAATTCCCCAAAGGTCAATCATTTTGTCTTATCTTAAAATCCTTTATATTGCACTAAAAATGCCTGCTAATCCTCTGCTTCTCTTTAAGTATAAGCTCTTGAGGGCACAGTTCAAATTTTTAGTTCCACCACTGTATCTCCAGCAAATAGCACAATGCTTGGCACATTAAGTGCTCTGTAAACACTTTCAAATTTAAGGAATAGCTACAGCATTTAAAATTTGTAATCTGATTTAGTCTGTTTTAGTTATATACACGTAGGTATTTATGTGGATTGCAAATTGTTAATTCATTAAAACATTCTCTTGAATTGCTTTAGTCTTTTTTTTTTGTCTGTTTAACTGCCACAATCAATTATATTTTTTACACTCAAAAGAAAATTAAGAGGATGACCATGAAACAAAATGGAAAAGAAAAGTTGACTAGGAACAATTTATTACTGTAAATGTTGTGCTTTGCTGCTGAGGTTTGAATGTCCCCTGAAGCCCATGTTCGAACATAACCCCCAATGTGGTGGTGGAAGGTGGGCCATTTAAGAGGTGACTGGATTTCCAGGACTGTGCCCTGTTGAATGGATTGATCCATTTATGGAGTAATGGGCTGGTGATTTAATGGGTTGTCATGGCCACAGTTCTGATGGCTTTATAAAAAGAGCAAGCGAGAATGTTAGTTCTCTTGCTCAGGCCATTCTCGCCATGTCATACCCTGCATTGCCATGGGACCCAGTAGAGAGTTCCCACCCAGAAGAAGGCCCTCACCAGATGCTCCCTTGGACTATGGGCTTCCCAATCTCTGAAACTGTAAGAAATAAATTTTGTTTCTTTATAAATTACTCAGTTTCAGGTATTCTGTTATAATCAACAGAAAATGGACTAATACACTTGCACACCTTTATGAATTAAAATTCTAGAAAAGGAAAATGCAAAATAAGGACATACCTACACGGTATAACTAAACTCAGAGCTAAAGAGAGTCAGAGAGACGTACCAATCAAGGTTTGAAAGGTTGCTTCACCAGTTACAACAGTTGTGACTTTGGATTAAGTTACTTAGGATGTCTTATCTGCTTCCTGCTGGTTTTTTTTTTCTAAGAGAGATAACATATGGAAACATCTAGCACTTCACTGGTACAAAGATGCTGCTCCAAAAATGATTACTATTATGATGGCATCTTAACCGCAGAGTTAAATAGCTAAATACATTCATCTTCGAAGGATACAGACTGAGTGTGGGTTCAGAAATGTCCTTGGGTGCAGTGGTTCTTATGAATGTAGTGGCGTACATTAGAATCTCAGGAGTCCCACCACCTGAGATTCTGATTTATTTAGTGCAGAGTGAGGGTATTTGGATTTGTGAAAAAGTGTCCAGGTTATTCCAATGTGCAGTTAGTGTTTAGAACCATTGCCTAAGGCAGTGCCTGTCAATCATTAAAGTACATATGAATCACCTGAGGATTCGTTAAAATGCAGATCTGCTTTAGTGGGTCAAAGTTCTGCTTTAGTGGGGCCTGAGAGTCTACGTTTCTAACAAGCTCCCAGGTGAGACTGCTGCTTCTTGGTCCTAGACCACCCTTTGACTTCCATGCCATCTCCTGAACTTGGTTGGGCTCAAGGCACTGGGCAGCATAGGTGGTCAGACTGTGGAGATGGTTGTCACCCTGTTTTCTAGCGTGATGCTCACCCCCAAAAAAGTCACCATATCGGCAGAGATTTGAATATGTGTACATTCAATATGCCTATTAAAAAGTGCCATCACCTTGTAAACAAAGGTAGGATCTTGTCCCACCTTGTAACTTCCACCCCACTTCTCAGTTTTAAGAACCTTTTGGAGAATTATTTTCTTTTTTCCAGTCTCCTCAGCAATATTTTATTTTACCTGATTCTACTCAATGAAAAGTTAGAGAATTTCATGTTTTGTGATTTGTTGCATTATCTCTGTTCCTTGAAATAGCCCAGCATGGTGTATGCACTTAAATTATTTGGTTGGAAATTTGGTCCTTCCTCCTAGAGCAGAACCTTGGTATTGACTCTGAGTAAACCTAACCTTCAATTAATTCAAGTCATTATGCAAAACCATGTAAGGTGTGGATACACTGGAATGTTTTCTCCATCGTTTTTGTGAATTTCATGAAGGCCAAAGAGTAAGAATGCATCCATTTGAGGTCTCTGGAGCATACAATAGGATCACATATTACATCCCCTATGGGATTTGCCTCACTGCAACTTTGCAGTTCCAATCAGGATAAGCCTGTGTAAACTTGAACAATAAGAAAACATGGTGCCCGACACTGGCCTCTGGAGTGTTAGCTTGCAATCGAGATATTCAACTGTATATCCACTAAGAGAACACTCCTGTTTAGGATATCGAAACCATTTTCCTAGACTAGAGAGGATGATTTTCATCTACCCTCTCCTGCTTGTGGATGGCAGCTACAAAACATAATCAAAATCATATTGAAAGAAAATGCTATATGCGTGCTACACAAATCTCATAGGAGTTACTATAGGATTATTCTACCCCACACTGTGTTGAATTTAATACTTTGGCACAAAATCTGGCCTTCATGGAACTGAGATCTTTTTAAGAGGTAAACTTACCATGTGTAGATAATCTGCCCTCTGGAGTAAGTGTAGAGGATAATGTAGCAGTCACCACCATAGAATTCACCATATGAGTTACTGTCAATTGGGATCCTACCAGTGCTTTCTACACGCCAAATCTGAAAGGAATGGAATATACATACCAAATTGAAATTTTCTTTATCTAATAATATTTATTATGGCTTTAGACAATTTTTGGTTTGGATCTATCATTAAACAACTTTTAAATTATTTTTCTAACGAGTTTACAAACCAAGCAAATGGAAGAAATTTTGATCAATTTGGCAATTTGTTTGTTGACTTTTTAAGCACTTATATTTCTTTTGCTTTCTCCACAGTATTTAGCTCAGTTCTGAACCTGATGATGAATAAATACCTATTGTTTGATCAATTAGTGAAAAATAACATAACACTCTAGTGGAACAGCAAACTGCAATATTCAGCTCAGAAACATCTCTCTTAAATTTTACAGTAAATTTTTTTCATCACTTGTGAAATAATGTTTTTTTTTCTTTTCCCCTGTGCTTTAAGGCATGAGACTACTATATCCCAGGCAAGAATTGGTAGACTGTGACCAAATACTATAGATTGCAATGGACTGAATGTCTGTGTCCTCCCAAGATTCATATTGAAATCCTAACCCCCAATGTGATGGTACAGGAGGTGGGACTTTCGAGAGGTAATTAGGTCTTGAAGATGGAGCGCTAATGAATGAAATTAGTGTTCATATAAAAGGAACTCCAGAGAGCTTTCTAGCTCCTTTTTTTTAAACCTAGAACCACGAAGTGAACCCCCACCAGACAACGAATCCATTGAAACCTTGATCTTGGATTTCCCAGCCTCCAGAACTGTAAGAAATACATGTTTGTTGCATAAGCCCCCAGTCTATGATATTTTTGTTGTAGCAACCCAAACAAAGATAAGTGCCAATAGTATGACGTGTATTTTTAAAAGGCACCATCCAGGCATAAACTGAAATAACAGGGAATAAAAACAGACAGCACCACTTTTTTTCTACCTCCTCATTTTCATCACAGATTAAAAACATTCCAAGCTGGAGAGATGAGAGACATAGATGAAATAGGAGAATAACAATGGGTAAGAAGTTTCCAGGCACTGCGTGTGCACACACATGCACACATACACACACACAACCTTCTGCCTTGGTCCTGGGCAGGTGCAGAGCCAACCTAATAATGTTTTTAAATATGGAGATGAGCTGGTGGAGAGGAGCAGTTTAGCTCTTAAGAGAAGCCTTCCCACGCCATCTAGTGAGCAGAGGAGAAACGGCAGCATGGCTTTTCTAAACCCAAGAGCCTAGAGAGAGCACCCAGATTGCAGCAGCCCTAGAGTGGCACAGGAGGACATCTAAGAGATGCCGTGGCCTGAGACAGAAACTGCAACAAGGACATAGTTGGGGCTGGGGAGCCAAGAATGCCATGCGAACCCTCTGGCTGTGTTGCCTGTCCTGAGCTCCAGAAAGAACATCTGAGTGGGAGACAGACCCAGACTTCCAATAGTGCCCATGAGGGACATTTGTGACTTTCTGTCTTGGCATTCTCCACTCCCCAACCCTGTGTAGCTTAGATGAACGCTTCATTTCATTGAAGAGAGAAAAAATTATTTCTCAAGTTTCTTGACCATAAATTTTGGTCCAAGCATGTGCTAAGCCCTAGAAATATAGAGATAAAATATTTAATTACTGTCCTCAAGGAAGTGATGAGAGGCCTAAGAGAAACTCGGAAGTAAATGAACAATTCTGTGGCACTTATAAGATAAATTTTGTGACAGCACTTATGGGTCGAGCACAGAGAAAGGGCATTTCAGCACTGAGGGAAGGCTTCTCGGAAGACATGTACTTTGTGATTTAACTGAATTGCCATGAAGGAGTGGGGACGTTAGCCACAAGTCAGAGGGGAAGAGTCAGCTCTCAAGGCGGTGCGGAAAGCTTCACAGGCCCAGTTGCAGATGCAGGTTTTCAGGAAGACCGTGGGGACCCATTAGGATATCTTAGAACAGGAAGTGACTTCATTCAGTTCTCACTAAGTTAGATTCAAGAGTGAATTGAATGTGAAGGGATCTGAGTTAGGAAGAATGATTAGGGAGTTTTTAGCAATTTTTGTCTAAAGTGAAATAATCAACAGACTCAATATGAATGGTCTTAAAATACCTGTGTTATTAGTACATGGCCTATTTGCTTTCATGAACACCTCCAACGTGCGGGGGAAGGAAAGACTGACCGTGGCTGGTACATTTGGAGCAGCACAGACTCACCGCACAGTCGTAGACATGGGCTTTCTGGGAGAAACAACTACCTGGACCAAGAAACGAGACTGCTGTGGTCCCCGCCAGGTCACTAAGATGATAATTAGGTGATCTTGCACAAATCATCTACCTTCTTGGGATCTCAACATACATATTTGTAAAACGGGGAGCAAAGGTCAGCCAACATCTTCTCCAGCTTTGACTTCCATGATTTAGTAGATAGTACTAGAACATCTCCATTATTAAGTAAAATTCACATTTTAAAATGTTTGTAGTTTTTTTTTTTTTTTTTGTCCTTTTTGAGACCGGCCGCATAGTGCTCAGCCAGTGAGCGCTATGAGAGCACCAATCATCCCTATATAGGATCCGAACCCACAGTGGGAGCGCTGCTGCACTCCCAGCGCTGCACCCTCCCAAGTGCGCCATGGGCTCGGCCCAAATGTTTGTAGTTTTCTGAAGTTACAAGGGATCTTCAAAAAGTTTGTAGAAAGATAACATTATCTTTTAATTCTGCTTTTCCATGAACTTTTTGAACTAGTGTCATATATTTCTACACATACTGACATAAATGGGCTTGATAAAAACAAATGAAATCAGGTAAATACCTCCACTTTGCCAGAACCGTCGTCCACCATATTGTGCTGGGCTGCCATCTGCGGAGAGCTGTGTAATTTTGAAGCATCAAATGGAATTTGTTTTATTCGAGCCACTTTCTCTGTGACATATACTTTCCCAAAGCCATGACTCTGATCTTTATCTCTCCAGTCCTTAAAGAACTGTTTGAAGATTGGTGTTTCACCTCCTTCTGGAAGAACCTGAATCTGAAATTTAAAATAGTAATAATAAACAAAAAAAATAAGACATAGAGGAAAAATATGAACCTGGCAGTGTAGAAAGAACTAAGGAAATGAAAAGATTGTCCTGGTTTCTGCGATTACAGATGTAAACTTAGAAACTAAGTAGTTAAAATAATCCAACCCTGCTTTTTCTTACAACTAAAGTAATTCCCATTCATTTTAAACATTTGAAATAAGAATAAAGTTCTCTCATATATACTACTGCAGTCAAATAAATCTGATTGTCTTGTCTTTTTACATTAGGTTCACAAGAGATCTGTAACCTGGAAGAAATTGTCTCATTGTGTCACTTGTGCCAGACGTAAATATAAAGAGAGTAGATGAGGCTGAGAGTTTCAGATAAGGAAAGAGTAATTAATTAGTGGTTAAGTTGATCTTGATGAAGACAAACATTATCTGGGTATTAGCCTGTCTGCATTCCATCCTCTAACAAGTAACTCTTAGGTAAGTCCTCTTAAGTAATTCAACTGTGTCTGATTATCTTGAATTAAAGGCTGTGAAGGAAGTGGATGGGCTCTTTTTCTCATCATGCAGCCCCATGGAAGGTCTGAATATCCATCTCGATATCCAGTTTCTACAAAATTCTATCCCCTACAGAGATAAAATACTAGGAACAAGATTCAACACACTTAAATGAAGAGTGATTTAACATGTATACATTACTTTGAACCAAATTCTTTCATGAGTTTTGTGGAAATGCCATAACTCTCATGCTTTAAATTGTTTTTCTTGCCAGTTCATTCTCACACGTACTTGGGTATTGGTGGAATAATTCATTCTCTCTAGGAATTCTTCCGCTGTCTTCATAGCAGCCTTCCTTTCCTGGGGATTAGCATCTTTACCTAAAATACAAGGTAAATTAAACAGAGACAGAATTTCAGAGAGGGAAAATATATAATTAAAAATTACTTGTGTACAAAAATTAAACACAATAATTAACTATAGCAATGAGAAATGGCAAAGATTTCCTAGCACATTAAATATATTTAGCAATATAGTAATGAATGTTATTTAAAAAAGATTCTTTCTGTATTCCCCAAATGCTTTCTTTAGCACCATAATCCCTGGTAAAAGATGACAGTAGGAAAATGGCTGGATTTTACATAAGATATTTACAGATAGAATCTCAAAATGTAGGCGTTTAGTCAGTTTTCTTCACCCTTCTGAAGAAATACCCATAAATCTGAAATGCAGCAACAATGTCAGTAGTTTTTTTTTACCTTTCCATACGAAAATTTGTTTTGCAGCACCATGGTCCAAAATAAAGCATTCTTCAGAAAGGAGCATTGCCATGGAGAAGGGGTTTTCCTCGGCCACCACAGTCACCGTCATGGATCCACTTGCATCTGAAACCTAATATAAAAATCCATGAGCTCCATGGTTTTGTTTTGGGATGATAAAGATGTTCTAAAATTAGATTATGGTGATAGTTGCACAACTCTGTAAATGTAATAAAAACCATTGACTTGCACATTTTAAACACATGGACTTTGTAAATTATATCTCTATAAAGCCGTTTCAAAACAAACAAAAAATCCATGAGCTCAATTATACTTCAAAAGGGTTTTGTTTGTTTGTTTTTTAAAGCCCTTTTGGAGTAAAAGAATTATTTAAAAAGTGCTGTTTTGACACTGTGCCTAAAACATTGCAAAATAATAGTGATAATAATAATAGCAAGGTATATTGATACGCTCATTCACACTAAGTTCCATGTGATGAACTTTACGTGATTATTTCTTCGAAATTTTAGAGCAATCTTTTTAAGTAGGTAATAATCTTACACTCATTGTATACACAAAAAAAGCTGAAGTTTAAACATTCATTCAGTCAGCGTCTACTGGTGCCTACTATATGACAGGCACTGTGGTAAGGAAGGTATTGATACATTATCGTTTATGCTTACACATTTTTTCAATATAGGTCCTGCAATTTAAGCACACTTTGTAAAAACCATAAAAGTGAATTTCTTTTATTGTGTTTGGAAATGACTGCAGAACTTTATTTAAATTTGTAGGTGGTCTTACAAAATTGAAAGTGATATTAATGTGCAGGTTAGAATTCACTGGTTTTCAGAAACCGGATTGTAGGTTGTAACATAATTACCTGAGCCCTTGTTAAATATGCAGCACTCAGGACCCTCTCTAGATCAGTGGTGGAGTTTTGCAGAACCAGGGTGGAGTCTGAATTCTGTATTTTTATTTATTGTTATTATTATTATTTTTGCTGTTGGCCAGGACGGGGACCCGAACCTGTGACCTTGGGGTTACAAGACTATGCTCTAACCAACTGAGCTAACTTGACAGCCCTGAATTCTGTAATTTTAGGAAGTACCCCAGGTAATCCTGCTTCCTAGCCTTGTTTGGTAAGGCCAAATTATTTTCAAATGGACTTTATACTTGAGATATATGCAAAACATTATAGTTCCACTAGAGGGAGCCATGATACAGGATTAACATTTTCCCATTTAAAAATATTTCTTTAGTCCATAATGCTGTCCAAGAACAGCTTTGATTAATGATGTGAAATAATGTGCAAGGCTGAATATACTAATTATCCTGATTTGAGCATCACATATTGCACACAAGTATTGATATTCAACCCTGTACCCCACAGATATGTACAATTATGTTTCAATACAAAAAATGATTTAAAAATGATATGAAATAAAACATATTTGTTAAGTAGTTAAAAATGGGTTTTAGAAATAATGATGGGGGGGAAAGGAAGTCACAAAGTATTTAGATAACAATTTCTATGTGGCTCATATTAAAATTATCAGTATTTAGTAGAAATGGTAACCATATTTTCCTACCATCTAGGAAGAATTCACTTTCTCATTATAAAAAGGAAGTTATGCTACACAAGTTAGTAACTTGATCTTCATTTAAAATCAAAGAGTTTCTGAGCTAGACTGTCCCTTAAAGATCAACAAATATAAGTCCTTCCTGTTACAGATGAGAAAATGACTGAATTCTGCAGGGAGATTATGATCTACAAATTACATTCTTAGAAAGCCACAAGTGGATGGAAGACTTAAAGAATCCTATTTTAGCAGTCTCTTTAACTGGCATATCCAGAGCTTTTGTCACCCTCACCACAATAAAACCATAAAAGTATAGAGTTGGAAGGAACCTGAGTAATCATCTAGTATAATCTCTCTCTGTCTCTCTGTCTCTCTGTCTCTCTCTCTCTCTCTCTCTTTCCAGATAAGAAAACTAAGACCCAGAATGGTTGTCTTGCCTGAGTCATTCACCACATAGCTGACATGAAACTAGGTCCCCAATGCCTGGGACAGGACTATTTTTACCCTGTTCCCTTCCAGGTGTTTGATTTGATAGCTTTGCCCCCCAGTAACAAAGAAGGCCTTCATTATGGCTAAAGAGAATGTTTTCAATAAGACAAAGATTTTATAATCTTACAAAGAATTTATAAGAAAAAGCTCACAAAACATTTTTACTGGATAAAGGAAACATTTTATGGAGTGCAATGTATCAAATGTACTGTTGCAAACTAGTACAGCAATGATGCATAACTTTATTTGCTTTAGCAATACATTTTTATTTGTAGTTTTTAATTTTTAAAGGTAATAAAAAGAATAATTTTAATAAATATACAAAAGCAAAGAACTGGTTCTACTTAAACTTTTCTCTTTGAGGGGGATGAGGAGAGTTATCAACTGTAGCAATAGAAGTTCCTCCTGACGCAGCCAACCACATCCAGTCCAGCAGAAACAATAGAACTTGGTAACAGTGAACTCACCATGTAGAGTTTAGCCATTTTCCTGTTACTTATGTCAGCTATGGTGTCGTCATCATCTTCTCCGTCCGGAAGATCAGGCATTTTCCCTAAAACCTGGATAAAGTGAGCAATGGATGAAAGCTTAAGACATTTTTATCTTGCAAATTTAAAAAAACATTAAGCCATCTTACATTTATAAAGACACTGATTATAAAATATTTGTAATTAAAGTTACCAGGCTCAAACATTTCTCATCAATTCTTACAACATAGACTCTTTCTCTCGGGCAATGGCATTTAGTTAACAAACACTGAGTTTGCTAGTAATGTGAATTTCCAAGAAAGCAAAATTCCAAAACTGCAAGTCTGGGTGTCTGTATTATTGAAAACTAGCAGGAATTAATTAAAATGAGTTCTAAGTTCAGTTCTGCAACAGAATTTCTTCTGTGACCTCTACTTTTAGATGATCTATATGAAGACTTGGATCAAAATTATTATTTGAGGGTAAAATACTATTATCATTGCTGACATATTACAAGATAGATAACGTGAAAGCTCTTGCTGACCATAATCATGCTTTATTTTCTGCTATATCCTTAGCACTTAGAACAGTGCTGGGGACAAAGTAGATGCTCAATAAATATTTGTCAAATGAACGAATAAATGTATTTAGCTATCCTTTGCATATGTCATACAATCCAAAAGTTCAGATGAAGTGTTTGGTAGAAAATACATTTGAATCTGCTTTGAATTTCTTTATATTAAAATCACAAAAAAATATATACCTATAAGCATTTAAATTAATTCATTAAATTAATTGACACAAATACCATAGAATGTGAAGGACAGTAATACAATATAAACATTCTAAATAATGTGATTTTTATAATAATATGGATACAATGAATTCCTTGAATAATATGTTTTATATTCAGTATTCCTTACAAGATATTGTCTGAAAATATATATTGCCTAATATCAGACAACAGAAAAAATGTACATAAATCTAATCCTTGTGTGAATACGGGTACAGTCTTGAATCTAGGAAAGCATCAGAGAACTTATCTCATTTGGGAACACGCCCATCTTTTTGTTCACACAGTGACCAATAAAACCTTTTAAATGCTGCACGTTTTAAATGATTATAATATAGTTATTCTTTTTTGTTAAAAGTAGGATCAAGCCAAAAACTAAAATACTTGCCCCCAAAGTTTTTTTTTTTTTTTTTTTTTTTAACATTTTTACTTTGGTAGAAGTGCATAAGGCTTATAAGAGCTATCAGAGATCTTCTCATACGCCTTTTGTAATTGCTCCAACCAAGAGAGTAGTTTGGAACAAACAGTTTGGGTTAAGGGATTAGCTAACATTGGGAAGTCTCCCAGAGGAATGAGTCTGGGATTTGGGATGCACTTGAACTTTGAATTTTCAGGCAACAATCCCCATATTAGCCAGGTACCTTAATTAGCCTCTCAAAGGACTGTAGCATATTGGGAATTGAACACAAGGGACGTACCAAAAATAGGCCTAACTCCAGGGGTAAGGAGATGTCATATATTGTCAGGATCATTTTAAAAGTCAGTTTGACAACTAAGCATTTATCAAATACCTCACTGAGGTATATAAAATGTTTCCAACCACCTTGCCCAACCCTTAAAGACTTTACATCCTGCCCAGAAAGAGCAGAATAATTAAATATGTTCACTTTACTAAGTATGCCATACATTTTGACCTTTGAAATAAACTGTAATTCTAGTTTTTCTTTTTTTTAAGGTAGAATTATGCGTAAATTTAAAACATTTTTATTTTAGTTTGCCAAGTGAATTAGCATTTAGTTTATGTAATACTTTGTATGTGAAATAACATATTTTGGCAGCTAAATGGGTAAGAAAACAGAGAAGACTTATTTGACGGTGTTCCATAAAAATTTCATCTATTGTTCTAGCTAAGACCTGTCACTCAAGCTTGGAGTTCCCCTTTCTTTCAATTATTTCCTGTAAGATTCCATTTAAAAGTATCATCATTATCTAACATTCTCCAAACTGAACTTATTTTCTACAAAAAAACTGGTCATTCTCAATTCTCCTATTGTGTCAGTGTATCTCTATTCTCCTCTTCACCTGGACTTAAAACCATGTGGGCAGTTTTGAACACTTCCTCTCTTCCACTTTGAATTTCCTGCCCACTTAGCCATTAAATTATATTGTTTTATGGAAATGCATACAGTCAGATTCCTGTCTATTCCTTTATTCAGATCCTAGTGAAGGTGCTCATCACCCTTGCTATGGGTTATAGCTACTTCTGTCAGTTCCCTGCCTCCTTCAGTCTCACCTCATCTTTTCATCCAAAAAGTTACCCAGTATACTGGCTGGAAGGCCCCCTCTTTCACTTTATTCCTATGTTTTAAGAATATGAGTCTAGATAAAGGAAATCCTGCCATTTGCAACAAAATGGATGCTATGGGTTAAATGTGTCCACCAAAAGTTCACGTAACAATTTCCACCTTAACAGTGTTAAGAGGGTAGGAAATCCAATTATGCTCTGTGAAGGGTGGGGCCTTTGAAAGGTAATTGGATTGTGAGGACTGTGCATTCCTCCATGAATGGAGTAATGCGTTATCATGGGTGTGGTTCTGATGGCTTTATAAGGACAAAGAGTAAGAAGGTTAACTCTCTTGCTCTGGCCATCCTCAGGTGTAATATGAATAGAAAAATGGGAATGTCTGTACTGTTTCCTTGCTGTTCTGTCAGTAACAAATAGAGATGTTTAGCAATGTAAAACACTATTCTAAGTATGTCAAAGAAGTTGGAAATTTGTGGAAATGCAGTTTGGTTCTTGCCTAAAAAGACCTTTTCTGCTGCTCACCTTTACCTTCAATGGCAGCTCAGTTCAAAATGTGCCAGAAGAGATTTGTATAAAATAATTAGAGCAAATAAATAATTCTAGATTCAGATTCATAATCCCCTCGCTTCAGAATTTCTAGGTTATTATGACCAGTGTCAACATCACCTTTGGTGGTTTTTTTTCTCCTCCTGCATGACCCAGGGTGACTTGTTAAGATCATCTTTGGTGGGTTTTTTCCCCCCACTCATGCCTAGGGTGACTTTTTCTTTTAAAACTTAAGTAGGCCTATGTGGAATTTTTATTATTATTATTTAAAAAATAAAAACCAGACAGTTAAGAAATGACTTGCTGTATCCTTTTAATCCTTAGTTTTCACAGCATGCGCTTCTATTTTTATTTGTTTATTTATTTTTTACATCTTAGCCAAATCCACAGTTTGGATATGAAATTCCAACATTTACACTCTTGCTCATGCTCAAGCTATGCTTTCCCTTCTTTAACTTTATATAGAAAAGTCAAGATGTTCAGCGACTTTAGGGTAAGTATTTGAAGTTCATCACTGGACAAAGAAGACATAATATGTGACCTGGAGGAAAGAAAATACTGTTGGGAAAATATAGAAAAAATGGTCAGGGCCCCTCAGATGTTCAGAATCTTGCTGAGCATCTGATGTAAATATGCACGTGTGCACAGGTGTTCCTTGTTATTGTCTAATGTGATTGTGCACGTGCACCCAGGTGTTTTGAGTTATGGACTTGAGTATAAAGAACTAATGGCTCTGATAGACGAAGCTTCTAGAGACACTCCTGGAAGCCACTAGGGTGGCTGCTCCTAGCTCTGAATAAAACCTATTATTTCTTCATCCACAGCTCCCAGGACCTTTTCCTATTACCTAGCTCATAGACCTGGGTGTGGAAGGTTTGTGACCCTGTCTGGACAATGGGCTCAAGGGCTCTGTGAGACCTAGCCCGAGCTCTACAATTGGCGTAGTCTGCAGCAGGATTCTGAGCAGGTACAGGAGCCAAAAGCCCATTGGGAGGAGGAGGACATGTGGCTACTCTTCAATAAGTTGTGCCCTATGGCCACTTTCCTGTTGTCCAGGATCTGGTTGCTGCTCACTGTACTGCAAATCAGCATAGACCAGGCACTACAGTGGAGAGCCCATTGGGAGGAGGAGGAAATGTGGCTGTCCTTGAGCATGTGGTGCCCAGTGGCCCCTTTTCCGCTGACCGGAGCCTGGCTACTGCTCACTGTACTGCAAGCTGATTGAGATCTGAAGCAGAAAGCAGGGTTGTTGGAAGAGTGGATGAATGTCCTGGAGGATGACATGCAGTGACTGGCCATCCCTGCCTCTCACACCAGGGAGGACGACAAACCCGGTGGTGAGTTTGGGGAGACTGTGCGTCTCCAAGCACGACCTATTGTGCATCAGAAAGTGAAACACGAGCAGCCTATGGGACTGGGTGGAAAACCAGTGGGCAATCCACAGGTGACCCAATTCACTACCTATGTCCTGTATACTCAGGTTGAATTGGTTGATTTCGGGACACAGTACTGGCAGAAACAGGGGGAGCCCCTGGCTGCTTGGCTTCTGCAGTTATGGGACCTAGGGGTGGGTAGTGTGATATGCTCTAGTGAGGAGATGGAAAAATTGGCCTCCACTATAATGCACCAGTCCCTGAGGCAGCAGCTACAGAATAGCTGCAGATATGCACAAGAGCCAGGTAATCACTTCTTAATGGACTGGGTGAATGCAGCTGTCTGAACTGTGTGGGCAAATACTGGGGAACTGCCCAAGATTGTGAGTAAATGGCAAAAGTATGCTGAATTGGTTCAGATAATTCGGGAGCTGGGGATGAGGCAGTCAGTGTTTAATGTGAACACCCGTGGCCCAGATGATGAAAGTTTTACAGGCAGGATGAGAGACATAGTGCTGCAAAATGCCCAGTCAATGTCCTTTGGGTCACTGATGGCCATACCAACCCCATACGTTGTTCATCCTATACATGAAATAACGACCATGATAGCCAGCCTCGTCAAGTAGAGGATAGGAGAAAAGCAAAAGGGGTCCAGAAAGTGGCTAAGACCAAACACCCAAGAAATGCTCAGGATTTTATGCTGAAGGGACCAAGCAAGACCAGCCATAAGCAGATGTGACTTGACTTGCTTGCAGTAGGGGTTGAGAACAAGAAAAATAACCAGCAGCCAACTGTGTTCCTGTTTGCCTTATGGCAGCAATTGCGCCCTGAACAGCAATTCACTAAACGTCCGGAA